AAATTAATCAACTGGTATTACCGACTTTTTTGTCTCTCGTTTGCCTATTTTCTTATAACCTGCGGTCGTTGATTATCCTTTGATCATTTGAAACAACTATTTTATTTATTCAATTTTTTGTTTTAATCGATGAGGGCTTGAGAAATGTTTTGCTGAATTACGATGGGTCGATAGAGAGAGAGTTGATGGTAAATAATAAAGTGAAATTTCAGTCTTAATTCACGCCTGAAAAATAACTGCTTTCGATCTGAAAATTCTTCAGGATTGTGTATTTTATTAGGCGATTGTGACCAATTATGATGAGTATTTAAAAAAATAGAACTGTTTGATCGTTCTAGGTTTAACACACCTTGGGTCTCTAATCACTGGTCATTTCATCGACCTTGTTCCAGCCCAAGACTCTTTAGAAATCTAGGTAAAATTTCTTTGTTCTTGTATAAAAAGACCATTCACTTATGTACTACATTCGATTGTCTAATTTTGCTATTAAACAATTTGTCACACTTTATTGGGCTGTCCCACATAAAGTGTTTTGTTATTAGTTTAAAGAAGATTGAAGAGTTTCCTGTTTATTACAATCAAAATATTTACTACCTGCAATGACACTTGTTCATTATTTATGTAATAGCAATACCGGTTTTCTTTTGAAGTAGACATTTACAATTTAGTTTCAAATTAAACGTGATAAAGGAAACAGATTTTCAATTTTTTTAGTTCAAACTCGGTCATTCTATAATCTAAACTCATCGGAATATTAATCAGGTATTTTGTGGAGAGAATTCTAATGAAAAGATTATTAGTCTTTTTTATTTCTTTAAAAGATAGTTCTAATTCACACTTTGTTGTTTTAGCATTAAACGCCCATCATCAGATTGAAGTAGATTCATTTATAAAAGTTATATCATAGACCTTTTAAATATATACACATTATTTAATTATTGTAAATTTAATAATAAATTTTATGAAATGAAAGGGTTACCAATGGGGGGGGGTCTTCATTATCCCCACTTTGTGCCGAAATATTCTTGGATAATTTTGAATAAAATCTTTTAAAATCAAACAAATTAATTGAATCTGTCCTACAAACAAACGCTATGTAGACGGTATTTTATGTTTATGGTCGGGAACACTAGAGGAGCTAAAATAATTCCTCCAATAATTTAATTCTATACACCCTAGTATAAATTTTGTCATTGGAAAAAAATAAAGATGGTTGTTTAAACTTTTTAGACTTAAAATTGTCCATAATTAATAACCTAATTGAAATAGACTTACATAGAAAACTCACAACTATGGATTTTATGATACCAGCAGATTCCTCTCCTCTATGGCCACAAAAAGCTGCTGGATTCATTTGGCTCATAGACCGTACGTTGAAACTCGCATTAAAACATTCTAATTATGAAAAAGAATCACAAACTATTAAAACCTTAGCAAAAAAACAATGGATATCAAGAAATACTTATCGATATATTGCTAGTAAAAAGAACTAAAAAATTAACTTTAAAAGAAGGAACAATCGGACTGAGCCACTCCACCAAAAATGAATCGTTAGGTTTTCGTTGCTTGTATACGTTGGTGAACTATCCGAAAAAGTAGGTAAAATTCTTAAACGAGAAGTTAGTTGTAGAGTAGTTTTTAGTGGTTCATGTTCACATAGAAAATCTTTTCAAAACCTAAAGACAAGGTTGAAAACTTGTAAAAAAGCGAGTTTTACCAGCTTATTTTAATGATTGTGATATTAAAAAACAGGACAAAGCGGCAGAAAAATAAAGAACGCTTACATATATCGTACAAATTTTTTGAATTTAAAGACCATCTAAATGAAACAAAACAAAATTTCATTTTAAATTTTAATACAACAGTGTTATACAGTTTCAACAAATAGAGGGAACTAGATTGGTTTGAAGAAATAAAAAAAATGGAAAATGGAAAAATATAGAGAAAATGCATAAATAATATAATAGATTTACCTCCTATTTTAAACATGTATATTTGACATACAAATTAATGAGTAATTTAAAATTATTCTCTTTCAGTTTTTATTAGGATAATATTTAGTTGTGTTGTAATTCATGTTTTCGAACGTTTAAAATTGAACGGCATCAAAAACCAGCTTCTCATTGGAACATCGCGATGGCGGTGGTTTTTCATTTCATGTTCAGAGACGTGTTTGTAACTCTTTCAAGCTGATGATGAACTTCAAGCTGCTTGAAAATAACATACTGCGAGTAGAACTATCTTTTAAATAAATTAAACAACATACTCACCGCACCTTTGTGAGATTTCCACTTGGGGTCTTCGGGGTGACTGATGGACTTTTAGGCTGGTCGTTTCCGATCATTTTTGTCTACCTTCTGTCTTTGCCGGTTAGATGCGTTTCGGATTCTCGCCAACTTTGGTGGTTTGACAAGGTTGCATAGTGAGACAAGAAAACAAAACCCGCTTGTTAAGGAATTTGTGGAAAGCTTCTATCAAGCCGTCAGTCCTATTACTAGTCAGTCAACTAGTCCAAATTACTTAAAAAAAAAAAGAAAAAAAAGAAAGTCTTTGGAGCTTATAATAGCATGCGAAGAAGAATAGACCATGTATAACAATGAACGCTGATCAGGTCAGTGAGAAGATGCCGGTCAGCCAAGAAGTTGATAAAATTCACCAAAATTTTCATAACAGCCACCCGTAAACGATGATGTAAAGGGAGTCATGCAAACAAACAAAATTTTAATAATTTTTCTGGAAAACCTCAATCTAGGCGTCTGACGCAAATTATCGCTTAGCGGATTTCTTGTTTGCTAATTTAATATTTGGATTCTCCTCTAAACCCAAAAACGGCGAGAAATATCTTTCGTGTTGGCTCTTTTGAAAATCAGGTCTTGCGCCTGAGTGTCCTGTTATGTAAGGGCATCTCTGCCAATACCAGGATTCATTGATGTCCTTCGTTCTTTTCTTTGTTTGTTGTATTTTGTTTGTTGTTGTAATTTGTTCTACTTGAGCACATTCTACATCATCGTTTACTTCAAAGATGAATACTTCATTCTGAATATCTGCACGCATCAATTGAAATTTTTAGTAGTTTTATCGTAATTCTTAGTTTTGTAAAATCAAAACGCGTAACCAGATAAGTAATTAATAAGTAAATGCTGTTTATTGTTGCAGCTACTTATTATTGAACATTTGGAGTTTTATTTTATACTGCGAAAGTAGAAGAGTCACGCAATCTCATTATTGGGTGGTAAATCGATACATACAGAGCGTATCCGTTACAGATTCCCCATTCAAAGGAGAACGGTACGAAGTCCGTGGTAAATCACTCACAATGCTTCTGTCCCAAAAGTGAAGATCCTTGGGGACAGGGAGAGAGAAGACCAAGGACCTCCCAATGGGACGACACTGTACAAAGCGGTAAGCGTTTAGTACGCCCAATGTCTTTAATTCCAAGCTTTTTTCCCCTTTTATATTCTTTTCGCGGACGTCTTGGCAGTTCATCGGTTCACTAAGAAACTAAAGTCGTTAAAAGTGTTGTTCTTCTATAATCTTTAGTCCAGGAAAACAATTTGTTAGTTATCATTTTTATTATGTAACATGGATTTTCTTTTAAATAGTATTTTTTAATTAATTAATTTTTTTACTTTTCCATGTGTTTTTAATACATTTTTTTATTTATTTTACATTACATTTTTTGCACATTACGGGAATTTACACCCATCAACATCTTTTTTTATTTTTTTTTTCGTTTTACATATTAAGGTTTTAAAAAGATTTATGACCATTTTGCATCGACAAGCCGCATGGCCAATTGAAAGGATTGTTTCCCCCATGAGGGTGGAATACTGTAGCCAGCTCAAGACAGAGGGACCCCTTAAGAAAGCTAGGTGATGACTGTGGACGATCTAAACCTTCTTCCATCTTGGTCATGTGACTTATCAATGCAAAGTGGTCGTATATCTTTTTAAAAACTGTATATGTAAAACGAGAGAAAAAAAAAGGTGATTGGTGTAAATGCCCGTAATATCAAAAAAATTTAATGTAAAAATAAAACAAAAAATTTATTTTAAAAAATATGAAGAATTTAAAAAAATCGTTTGCTTTAACACAAATTATTTTTATTACACTTCATTTTTAAGTTAGGTGGATAGGTGAATAAAATAGACCAAAATGATCGAAAATGACCAAAATACGATCTCAATTGTAAGAAATAATAATAACTCATTAGTCTATTTTATATTTTTTAAATTAATTGTATTGTGTAATTTAATGTTTAAAATGTCTAAAATTAAAAACTAAAATAAAAAATTTAATTTTTTATTGAGCACTAAGGTTTTTAAAATTTTATTATTTCTAAAAGTTGAAATCATTATAATGTTTACATAATTAATTTTATAAACACAAGAAACTATCATGACCTAAAACAATATAACTTTTAATAATCATTTCAAAAATTAAAAAAATTATGTAAAAGTAATGTTGTTTGTAAAAAAATAATATATATTTTTTCCAATCAAATCAAATTGTAATTTGGTCATCACGGATCATTTTGGTCTGCCTACCATGGTTGGTTTGGTCTATCAGTTGCGATTAACCATATTCAGTGTTGGGTCTGCTAGGCTCATCAACCCATAGATCACATGGGGAAAACCCACACATCAAATTGTTAATCAAATACGATCAGAACACAGCATACATGTCTCAATAAGTCTTCAGGTTATGAATACTTCGTGCCCTCCTTATAATTCAAGCTATAAAGTAAACATACTGCTATAAAAAATATTTTACACAGCCTTGCAGTTTAAAAATTACTGTATATGTATAATAAGAGTAAGGGGGTGTTGGTGGCATTTGCATGGAACACGGTAAAGGTCCTGGGTTCAAATACAGGTCCACTGGATATATTTATAAATGCCTTTTTTTCTTCAAAATCACTGGAATCTTGGGACTTAACAATTATGACCAATGCTGTGACACCCCCCCCCAAAAAAAAAAAAAAAAAAAAAAACAACCTCATTCACTACTGTTTGATATTGAATATTACAAGAATTTGGATCATTAAATTTTTTGTTTTGCGGGTAAATAACTTCCTATATCAAATTATGAAGTATTATGCCACAATTTTTATTCATATGATAAAAAATTAATTATTTCAATTCCAATAAAAAATGAGGAATGTGATTTATCCATCTGATAAGTTTTACAATAGAACAGTGTTTTATCTTTAATCGTGTTTACATTAATTTGTACACAATTCTTATTATTTACCATTTGTTTGTTAGTCACAAAGCTATCTTTAGAACTTTAACTTTTACAGAATTCTCTACAATCTATTTAGTATTGGATAATTTGCGAATTAGTGCAATTCTTTACTACTTGACAGTTAAACCATAGGGTGTAAAATGTAAACTGTGATATTTAACAAAAAAATTTTTAAAAAAAAGTAAACATATTTAACGAAAAATAAAAATGTAAATTTATTTTTAGTTGGTATAATACAAAACTACATTCATTATAATTCAAACTTTGTGAGAAAAACTTGTGAATTTTCAGTTAAAAAATTCAGAAAAGCAGAAGTTCATGTAACTATTTAAATACTTTTTGAAAGAAAACGTTTTAAAAAATGCATTGATTTCAGGAATAAATTTTGCATTGACCTCTTCAGTGATGTCAACACTTTTGTAATGCATATCTTTTGAAAGCAACATTAATCCTGTGAAATGATTCAGTTTGAATACTTCCCATTCCGTTTTGCATTGACGAGGTTTATGTGCGTTTTTGATTTTATAAGAAATATCCATGCTGTTTTTGGCAGCTGTCAAATTTGCTGGACCATTGTATGAATTGTACCTGCAATTTAAAAAATACTAAAATACAATTAAACTTTTATGTTTAAAAAATTAAATATTGTAGTTTTGAATAATTATTAGTGAATATACTTTTTTTTGGAGGGGGGGTATTTACTCACTTCAGTTTCTTTACAATAACTTTAAAATGTGTCAATGTAAACCGCCCGGATAATCTCATTTCACCTTCATTCAAGATATCCATGAATACATCGGAATCTCTTTTCAATGACCACATCAATCCCAACTTCACAACTGACAAAGACGTGTTCGCTGCTGTTAGATTGGGCACTCTGAGGAACACCAAATTTGAATTTTTTTCTTTAGCGGCTGTACCAAATAAGCTGATGATTAAGTCTATTTGTTCATTCCACAATTCTCTTCTTATTGGAGATGTGCAGTCTACACTGAGAGCAACTATTAGCACTAAGCCTACTCGAAACATGATGGGTGACTGCTCTGTGGATTCTTAATCACAGCTATTATACCAAGATTAATGTCTTATCGCTCAAATTAGACACTTAGCCTACAAACATGTTTGTTTCAAATATTAATTAATCTGCTGTTTTTAATTAAAATTATTAATTATTAATAACTTTTATCATGTTACAAAAAGACATTGTCAGTTTTATATGTTTTTATAATTTGTGATTTTATCAACAAAAAAATTTTTTTTCATGTTTTTTTAAACTAATTTTTTAAATTTATTTTTACATTAAATTTTTCTTACATTTGGGGAATTTACACCAATCAGTACCTAATTTTTTAATTTCAATTGTTCATTATATATAATTTGAAAGAAAGACCATTTTGCATCAACAAGCCACATCGCTACACAATTTATATAAAAAAACCTACAGATTTTATTTACAGATTAGTAAATAAAAATGACCATATGTAAAGTTGAAAAGTCAATATACCAACCGTTTTTTTTTTTAATATGTTAATTTGTATGTTTACTGTTTGACTACTGCTCACAGATAATTTAGGTCTAAACTCTATGCCCTAGTTAACCACCTTAGGCCTGCTCTTCCCACTCGATGAACAAATCAACTTTTACCTTTTTATATTGAAATGCTTTTGTAAAATGTTAAATTCTGATTTCTCTAAGTACGAGGCTATGGAGTGCTCTACATTTTCAACTCTTCCTTTTAAATTACACAATGAAAGTTTTATCTCTTTGCCAATTATATATTAATTTTGATAAAGTCCACAACATTTAATTATATAACTTACTGATTAAGCTCCTAGATTGCACTTATTTATTTATTCAACCGTTCATGTTGAATAAAATTGGAAAAAAATTGAAACAAAATACATTTCCCTCTAAGAAATGCCTAGATAACACAATACCTAAATCGTTGCTGCCATTGACACCCCTATTCTTAGCGTTTATGTTGGGGGTCTAGAAACGATAAAAAAATGTATAGTAAATTCTTGCTGACTAATGAAATTGTTAGAACATTTTATCTTTCAATTATTTTGTTAAACCAGATATAAGATAGTTGTGTGAGGAGGAAAGGTTTATGATGCCATCTGCTTATATGTCAAAAAAAGGAGTAAAACCAAATCCATTTTTTTTTTTTAAGAGATAGTTACTCAAATCCAATAGAAGTCAATAGTCAAAGTTAGGGAGTAAAATGCAAGCTTTTATTCTATAGTATTAGTGTTTTTGTGTCTGTGATTAGAATTAAATTTTTTGATATTAAAAAAATTCTCATAAATTAATGAAATTGTTAGAACATTTTTCCTTCACTTATGTTGTTAAATAAGATGTAAGATCGTTGTGCAAGGTGAAATAGTGATAGATGCCATCTTAGAATTTATTGATTTGTTCAATAAAAAGAATTTTAAAAAACTCATTTTCTTCCAGAAATTTTCATTTTGGTACTTTAAATTCGCACAATGTAAAACACCAATAAACTAATATCTAGTAGAAGTCAATAGAATCAAAATTTTGGAGTAGGTCACAAGTTTTCATTCCGCAGACTAAGCGTTTCTGTCTGACTAGAAATGAATTTTTTTTTATAATAAACAAATTATTACAGACTAATGAAATGTTACAACGGTTTTGCCTTTCTCATATTTTAATAAATAAGATGTAAGATTGTTGTATAAGGAGGAAATGTAAACACTGCCATCTTGAATTCTACTGATGTGCCCAATAAATAAAAAATAATAATAAAAAGCAAACATGTTCTTTTAAATGATTAGATTACTAATTGAACTTTGGATTTCAAAGTTTTAAATTATTAGACAACAAACAAAATCTAATAGAAGCCAATAGTGTAGAGTCAAAAGTTTGGAGTAAGTCACAAGTTTTCATTTTGCGGATTAAGTCTTTCTGTGTCTGTTACTTGAAATGATTTTTTTAAATAGATATATTAAACAAATTCTTACAGACTAATGAAATGTTAGAATATTGATGCCTTTCTCTTATTTTATTAAATAAGATGTAAGATTGTTGTATAATGAGGACAAGGCTGCCATCTTTAATTCTACCGATGTGTCCAATAAAAAAATAATAAAAACCAAACACTTTTATTTAAAGATTAAATTACTAATTGAATTTGGGATTTCAAAGCTTTAAATTAGCAGACAACAAACAAAATCTAATGGCGCCAATAGTAAAGTCAAAAGTTTGGAGTAGGTTTTCATTCTGCAGTCTAAGCATTTCTATGTCTATGACTAGAAATGATTTTTTTTTTGTATTAACCAAATTCTTACAGACTAATAAAATGTTAGAAAATGTTTGCAAATGAAATATTTTTTTAAGATTGTTGTGTAAGGACGAGGAGGAATGGTATTGCAGTTAGTCAGTGTTGCTGATAGAAAGCGTTGTTGCAGAACGGAGACATCGAGAGCAACTATCCGGTAGGCGGTGGCGGCGGCTTGGCCGGTTGCAAAGGCCGAGGGCGCAGCCCCTCTCTCGCCTTCCTCGTCCGTCTCGTTGCGGCCTTCCTCCGAGTGGCAGTGGTCGTCCTCATCGTCGCCGGAGCAGTCGCTCTCACCTGGTACTTCATGGGCTTCCTCTTCGTCGTCCAGCTCTCCCTCGTCGCCTTGGTCGCCTACCTGGCAGCCGGAGGCGGCTACAAATGGCTCTACGTCGCCGCCAAGACGGCCCCCAGGGATATTACGTGAGTACACAAACTACTGTCAAATAACGGTTATACACAAAAACAACGCGTAACACAAATCAAAACATGGGATTGACAGGAGAACGACCGGAGTGGCTCCTGGACACCGGACAGGCCCAGTCGTTTTGTCGACTTAGCACTTTTATATTAATTATCAGCTTCTTCCTTTTATATTTTCTTTTCTTCCATCGACAAGCGGAAATCCCTTTATTAGACAGATTGCTGAATGAATTATTCATCGACATCGCGCCACATGACAGCCTTGTTTTCATCAACTATGACCATTTCAAACATTAAGCACAACTTATCAATCAATATTTCATTGATAAAAGATTTTTAAAAAGAAAAAAGTCTCGTTTTTGAGCAAGAGAAGTCGAATAACGGTTCACTCAAAAGAGAAATCCTCAATAAAAACTTAATAACTTATTTTTAAACAGTTAACCATAATGACATATCTAACCTCATTAAGAACATAACAGTTTCTACCCTCGACTAACATTTTATTAACTCTATAAAAAGATTTGTTACAAAAAAAAGTACATGATTCACTAAGAATGAACTTTCACCTTTTGACGTTATCACTTCATATCCATTGAATGAAAACGTTAATTTTCAGAGGCCCTAACTGACCCTGTTAAAAGTCAGGAAATGAGGTCTAAGTTCTCTCAGGCTTGAGAGAAAAAAAATTACCGTTCGAGTAAAAGTAGTGGAATTTGAACCCAGAATGCCGATGTCCTTGATTTGCCCAAATAAACAGGATGAAATGATCAAAGAAAAGAGTGTTTAATAGTGATCCGACACATATCATTTGTTGGACGACTCACTTCACTTGTTCGGCACTAGGCACTATTAACGTTGTTTGCAAGGAGTTGTTAACATCGTGAAAATTGTGTGATAGATCGTTGAACATTATGAGTAGAGGATAAACGTTAACGGTTTGTGTGCCAGATAATAGTTTGCGTTAAGTGCAGAATGATCCTAAACGCCGTGTGAAAGATGATCGTTAATGTTATGAGTGCAAAATAATTTTTAATGTTAAGAATAAGACGATTGTTAATCGTTATTATTATTAGTGACGCTACGTGTGCGGGATGGTCGTTGACATAACATACAGAATTGTGTTAATCGTTGTATGAGAACGTATTCTTTACGCGATGAGTGCAGGTTGATTGTTAACGTGATGGGCAAGATGATCGTTCATTATTACTGTTATGAGGACATGGTGATAGTTCGTTTAACGTTATGTGCAGGTTGATCGATGACTGCAAGAAGATTGTTAACGTAATGTGTCAATTATAACAATTAATATTGCATGCAACATGATCGTTGATAGTTAACGTTACGTGTAGGGTAATAGATCGTTAATTGTCGTTAAATTTGTGTGCACGATCGTCCTGAACGTTTGTGAGAGATTATCGTTAATGTTAAGAATGAAGGTTGATCGTTAACGCTTTGGGAAAAAAGAATAACGTTATATGTGCAGGACGATTGTTGATAGTTATGTTACGCGTAGGGTTCGTTAATCGTTAATTTGGTGTGCAGGATAATCGTTAATCGTAGTTGACGTTATGTGCACAATGAACCTGATCTGTGTGTAAGAGATTAAAGTTGATGATAAGGGTTGATCGCTAACGTTTTGAGGAAAAAAATTGTTATCATTAGGCGCAAGATGATAGTTAATGTTACTATCGGTGATAATTTGATCATTTACATTATCTGTGGAGGATGATCGTCGATTGTCATAGGGTGTTCGTTAATCGTTAACTTTATGTACAGAATAATCGTTCATCGGTAATGTTATTGGCAGGATGATAATTAACCTAGACATTTGAAATTATACGAGATTTAAAATCCTGAGTTTTTTTCCTGCTTCTTCAATGCATGTTGAAGTTTCTTTCTTGTCAAATCTCACAAGGAAATTCTAGAATTTACTTTTTTCAGAGAGCCTTCCTTAGCTTTGCTCTTCTTACTTGCCTTGTATTCTAAAATTATCTCTGTCAGCGGTCCTTTCCTGGCATTCCTTGTGCATTTCCCTCAATTCCTGTCCAGGAATCCGGCGGAGGGTGCATTCCCAACGTGTTTAGGCCATGCAATTCAGAACTATCTTCGAGCCGATGTTCGAATTCAGTATCTTGAAGGTCTAAAACTTGAATAAGACGAATATTATTAAACAAAAGTGATTAAATTTAATTTAAACAAAAATATAAATATTTGTAGATATACGCTACATATTTTTGTGCAATGTTTCTTAATTTTTCCGGCTCAAAGTATTCAAGAAAGCAACATATTTTGATATATTCCGTTAACTATTGAGAACCCGAGACTAGCGTAGAATCGTTATTGATAACTTTTACCTTTTCTTAAAGTATAAAAAAATACAAATGTCAGCCTAAATAGAAAATTATTTTCCTTTCTTTTTCCAAGGGAGAGAAAATGGTACAGTGACTAATTTTCCAGATGTATTATTGATCGGCTTTAGTCGATTGTCAAACACAGAAACGATATTTCTTGCTAATGCACTACTCATTACAGGGGTAGTTACTGGGTCTGTAAAATATAAATCGTGTTTTGAATAGTATCAATTTCTTCACGGTTGGTTTTAGCAGTATAAGCAAAGAAAATGTTTTATCAGTAGAACTTTACGAATCCTATCCTACAATTTAGTCAAACAGAATACAAATAAAGTATTTAATGAGGGTCATAAGATTATCGATTTAATCTTCATTTTCAAGTTTTAAATGATAAAATTTGGAAAGGTTGACGTTACTTTCTCCCATGACTTGTCAACAAAAGGTGACCATCTCTTGTTTATTCATCGTTGATACACTTCGATTATTTGATTTGCTTTTCGATTCCATCTGATAAGTTAAGTCAATATAAGATTTCCAGTCCATGACCCTTTTCCGTTAGGAGCGTTTATTTATCGAATGTTACTAAGGGCTTTTAAATACGGACGGCCAAATTTTCGTGTAAGTTTGGCAAGACCGAAGTATTTCCAAGTCGCCAACCTGTGTCGAACCTTCGGATTAAAAAGCTTCTCATTCCCTGAAGCACAGTCTGAGCACGTTTATTTCGGATTATAAACCCCTTTCAGTCAAGATTGAACATTTAAAAATAATAAAAGTTTATTTATTGTAAAAGAAACAACCTCATCCATTCATTTCACTTAAGGTTCAAAAGACACTTCTAACTCCGGAATGGGACCATACTTTGATCTAACGGTAAATAAAAGACGACCTGCCATCAATATGACGTCAAAAGGAAGTGGCGAAAAGACTTTATTAAAAGAATTTATTTTTGTGTTTTACAAGTGTGAAATTTAAAATTATTGATAACTTAAATTTCAATTATGTTAAGTTTTGAATACTGGGTTGATACAAGACTCCACTCGTTCGATTCTGTTTTTCGGCTACTTACAAATTCAGCTCATGCAAAGTCAACATTGCAGATATTTGGATAAAGGTTTTGGCCAAAAATACATCCGCAGTATAATTGTTGGTTGGTAGTACAGTTGTCGATGGCAATGAAAGCATTAAGAAATTACCTAAAAGAAAACATTTTTGTTTAAACAATCAACTGCCACGTTACTATTTTATGCATTTATAAGAATAATTATACATATCAGTGGAGAACATTATACAGAGGTTGAAGAACAAATTTCTAAATAAGATGGGCTTTACTATAGAGTCTTCCACTAAGTCCTGTCGTTGTTTTTTTTTTGTTTTTGTTTTTTAATTGAACTTATTTGTTTGAGTATCAGTGTTTTTGTTATTAGTTTGATTATAATGCAACCTTTCTCCTGAGGTAAACACCAATGTTTACTCTTTATAAATACGGCACTCTTTCAGTCAGTTGAATAAATGTGGTTAGTGTTTACCAAATCCTGTCGTATTTGGCATTACGAGTAAAAACATCGATCTAGAAAAGCGACTTAGCCTGCTTGGAAAATATGCTTGGCGTTCGGTTCACAAAAAGATGAGCTGCAGCTGAGTTGTTTAAACTATTCCGATCTCAAAAATGCTCAGAGATAGCTTTCCAACTCATTACTTCTGAATCAGTAGCCTGGAATTTAACTGTATAAAATGATAAAAGTAAAAAAGCTAAATGGACATCGCAAAGTTTAACTGACTTGTACGTTTACATCCTTTTTTCATAGCGTCAAGCCTAAAACAGATCCTTATTTGGATAGTAACTTGGTCGATTCAGTATATGCAAGTCAACATTGCAGATATTTGGATAACGGTCCTCTCCATACTCCACACACTATAATCCTCCATACTCTCCAGACCTGTCGCTAAAATATAACCTTTTTTCCCCCCAAGGCTATCGACAGTAGAATTACTAGAACAATTTTTGATACCGACAAGTCTTAAAATTGACTTATCAACTTACAAACCTTGAAACTAGAAATCTGTAGCGATTGGTCACCAGAAAAATTACTATGAACAAAATTAATTAACTTTTCAACAACCTACATACTATGTCGCCATTTTTTTAAGCTATCGACTATAGCGTTAGGCTATTTTTGAAACCGACAAGGCTCAAAATTGACTTTTTAACTCAACGAAGGATATTTTGGTGTTGGTCTGTGAGTCAGGTGAACACACGCTGAACCGGCATTGGGTCATTTCTGTCGTTTGAGTAGTTCAATAGCCCGCGTGTGAAGACGGACCCAACGCCGGTTCATTATGAGCATCACTTGTGATGAAAAATGTGTCCTGTTCAATAATTTTGTAATGAAAAATGTGTCTTGTACTATAATTTTAGCGGTTTTCGTTCGGTAAAACCCATAAAATTCCCTAGACCTAAAAGTATTACTCCCCATCTCCTACCGATCCATTCTGAACCGGTATGGCTCAAACCTTGAAACTAGAAATCGGTAGCGATTGGTCACCAGAAAAATTACTACGAACAAAATTAATTAACTTTTCAACAACCTACATACTATGTCGCCATTTTTTTAAGCTATCGACTATAGCGTTAGGCAATTTTTGAAACCGACAAGGCTCAAAATTGACTTTTTACTTAACGAAGGATATTTTGGTGTTGGTCTGTGAGTCAGGTGAACACATGCTGAACCGGCATTGGGCCACTTCTGTCGGTTGAGTAGTTCAATAAGCCCGCGTGTGAAGACGGACCCAACGCCGGTTCATTATGAGCATCACTTGTGATGAAAAATGTGTCCTGTACAATAATTTTAGCGGTTTTCGTTCGATAAAACCCATAAAATTCCCTAGACCTAAAAAAGTATTACTTCCCATCTCCTACCGATCCATTCTGAACCGGTATGGTTCAAACCTTGGAACTAGAAATCGGTAGCCATTGGTCACCAGAAAAATTGCTGTGAAAAAATCGATGAATTTTTCAACATCCTACGTACCATCCAGACCTGTCGCCGAAATGTAACCATTTTTTCGAAGCTATCGACTATAACATTAAGCAGAACAATGTTTGAAACCGACCGTGTCTGAAAGTTGGGTTTTTAACTTCAAAACGATTTTTTTTTTCCAAATGGAATTTTTCACCTTGTTCCTTCTCGGGATAAAGTAATTTAATGCAATGGCTATTATTTCAATATAACATTTAAATATTTAATTTTAGTAATGCAAAAGCAAAACGCTAGTGGACAAAATGAGATTATACGGATCAGGCTATCTTTAATGATCAAACTGCTGAACAATGAACTTTGAGTTGACACTATTACTATCTTTTAGCAATATATAGAAATTATGTTTGCACTCACTGTCTTTTTTTAACCAACCATAGAAATTAAAATAAATTGTCATTTGAAATACTTTTCAACCAAAATGTGTGTTTTTGGCGAAAATGTTGACGCTAAGTCTTTAAAAGTATTTGGTGCGTGTAACTATATAAAATACCCAAATATGAAAAAAAATTAAATGTAATTACATTATACAGAATGGACCAATGCTCGTAAAATTTATTATGATCTAGGTTAGTACATTCGATATTATATTATTTGACCTAACTTTTTTATTCAAGTGTCAGTTTCAATTTGTTTAAAATCTAAGAAATTCTCTAGTCACGGAAAACAAGGCTCAGATTATCTCACGAATTATTTTTGTTTGGTTTGTTGGATGTTGATGTAAGTAAGAAACGGTTTACTATAAGAAAAAAAGACGACGTAAGAAAATTTTGCAGTTCTATATTAAAAATAGAATTTCGTGGTGGTCATTTCCTGCTGTTCAACTTTGTATTAAATTTACATATACGTTTTACGGTACAAAAACATTGCAATATGTTGGACAAAACCGGTTTCGTAGTGTCCTATCAATTGAATTAGCTCGCACTCATTACCTCGATAAATTCACTCGTTGGGAAATATATTGTTTTTCTGGTTTTGTCAATCCTAAGGGCATTAGGTCCTCAGCGAAACAATGTTATTTCAATTTACTTCTACATTCGACATTTCCTATATTTTCACCTAGTACGAGTTACAAAACGTGCTGACAATTTGTCGTCAGTTATTTTCTAAAGGGCAAATTCTGAATTGTTCCAATTGCGTTAATTGTTTTATCCCACGCTCTCGCAGACCACCTAGGAATTCCTTATTGAAATGGTAAAATCGTTTTGGGATTACTTTGAACTCCTCTGACTATTTTTTCTCAGATACGCCGTTATGAAAAAAATATCTAAATTAATCGGGCCATAAGTCTGAAAATATTTTTGTATGTGCGGAATGTACGGGCATGGAAACTTTTTCGATGACACAAAAAGGAAATGGAAAATAAGTCGACAGATCCATCACTCGACAGACAAAACCTAATCAAGAGTTTTTGTATTTATACTCTTATTTTAAACAATGAGAAAATAATTCTTCCGGAACAAGTATACATATATATAAATAAGTATACATGCTAATATTGGATTATTTCAAATGAAATGTTGCAAGAGACATAATAAAGGCGTTTGAGGAGGGGTCGAACAGACCATTCACCGTTGATTTGCAGTTTTCGGCTGGACATAACGAAGTCCTCAATCATACTGTGGAATTCCAATGTAGAAGTATCGATCACTTTCACTCATGAACACTCAGGATCAAGGTATGGTTTTGAAAAAAAAAAGTGATCTCAAAACGTATTTAAGATTGTTTTGCCCTGATGATGTCCTTAAAATAGATCGACAGCTTGGAGGTAACAAATGGATTTGATTTTTTCTTCCTTGATCCAGGGTGTTCGTGAGGTTACTGTGTAATTCAATCTAAGACCTTAAACAGTTAGAGGAGTCTCAACACTTCTGCTTACAAGTGCACACACTGTTTCAAGACACTAAGAACATTGAAAATATGAAAACTATTCATGGGTACCTCATAACCTCTCTGAACGGCAATACTTGAAGCGCCATGAGATGTGCGTTGCGTTTCGTACTGGGCAAAAAAACCAGCCTTTTCTCCAAAGATTAACAACTTGACCTGAAAAATGTATTGTGTATGACAGTCGGGGTCGGTCAGGTCAGAGGTTAAATGCCGATGAAAGGGCACACTCCCAAAAAAATTGATGGTGAGCGTATAGCCTATGTATATGATTGGAGTCATTTGTTACTCCTTTTTGCCTAGAGGTTAGAGCTCTTATCATTTCCTCTATAACTAGCTACATAAAAATAATTTTTTTTAATGATTCAAATATTGAAAAAGCAGTTTCTGGTAGTATTTTTTCAAAAACCTAAATTTTTCAGTTTGGTTTGTTTATAAAAGCTCAACTCTGTTCATACGTGTACATACGTACACATATGTTCAGAATTAAACTAAAAACTTCTAGCAAGTTGCGAGAATCATCTATTTCGGGTCTTGGCAGTCCGACGTCAGTCAGAATGTAGGATGCAAGGGCTATCACCACCGACAGGTCATTTCAGGACATGCATGCAGTTTTCAAAGCTAGATATACTCACTCAATTGTTAAATAGATTCTTTCCTATTGGACATACTATTCACTCAAGTAGGGGTGTTGGAGTATTCGATATTGCTCTAACACCCTTTACCAAATCTACATAATTAATATAATAGAGAGTCGTTTGTTTCTCAACATTCCACCATCACACAGTCACACTAATAAATATATTCAATATCTATCAGTACCATACACAATAAAGCAGCCCTGCTAACTTGAAAAATCTGAACAGAGGACTTAAATACTCTCTGCCCGCCCAAGCATAATTCACATATCAGGCGGCATGCTCTCCATACTGAGCCAGTGTTACACATCTAGCTCGCTTTTCCTACATGCCGTACACATAAATAGGCTTAGGTCCAAAAATAATTGTCCGCGTATCAACCTCGCATGGCATATCCTTAATCGAGTGAGGATGACCATTCTACGACTCATTTCCACCTATTTTCAGTGGTCTGATAAATGAGAGTTTCTCTGCCGATCTGGCTCACTGACGCTGCCTCTTTCTTTTAATCATGTTTTAATGTACTTTTATGTATTCATATATTGACTTCATAAAGTTATTTTACTAAGCAACCTTTATCGTGAAAAAGGGCTTTTTATGAGAAACATTCCGATATGTAACATCCTCGCTGGT